TTTCTGCTCTTCTTCTTTCCAATATATCTTGAGGTTGAGTGAGTTTCTCCTTCCTGTAAGTTCTCACGAGCTTGACGGACTTTTGCTATAAGTTCTGGTTTTTTTTTTCGTTGGATCTATAGGTCACATTTAGACTGTCTAACACCTCTTTGAGAAGGAAGACAGTCATGTCTTCTGGTGGCCCCATTTTACGTTTCTCCTTTTCTAACTCTTTCAGTTTCTCCTCCTTCCTCCGAGACTCTTCTTCTTCCTCTTCCAGCTTTGGCAGTAGAATTTCCATCGCCTCCGCGTCTACTTTCAAAGGCCACTTTCTTTCCCCTTGGAGGTTTCCGAAAGTTAGCAAATGTGTTTTGCATTCACTCCACATTATTTCTTTTGTGGGTGATAACAACCACTTGCTATTTTCCTTTTTTAAGATCGAAAGAACTTGAAAGCAAACTGATATTTTTTCTTTCGAGTCGTTTCCTTTCTTCCACTCAAAGACAGGAACAGGGGATTTAGAAAACGTGTCACGCACCAGCCGCAATACCAAACCGCATCTCATACCGAGACGTGGGACCCAGAATGCCGCTATATCCTCAAAATATAGTCCGTTTTCTGATCTAGTTGGTGCTACGAGCCTTTCTACCCGTTCGTAGAAATCATTCCTTGAGACAGCCATCCATCTAGCCATTCTAGGAGTAGATGGCTTATACACTTTTCCCTGCTGAAGAGACAAAAATTCCGCAATGTGATAAAATTCTCCATCATACTCAACATAGTTGGGTGGAACTGAACATTGTGAAGCTGCTGATGTTTTCTGCCCGTAATTAAATCTCCTTCGTCTCTTCAAGTGGAACGTGCCTTCATTCTGCTCGTCTTCCTCCATCATGGAAATATCTGACGCCGTCGCAGCAACTAGGTCCTTATATTGTTCCATCCCTTTTACGTTCCCATGCGATGTACAAACAAAGGCATACGTTTCTCTCTCTGAGTCTGTAGAGAATTTGAGATTTAAGCATGATTCGTGGAACCAGTTGTCGCACCCTGGATAATCACAACCAATCCAGTGAGTCGTCTTTGGAGCTTTAAAGGCAGGATTTGTGTATTTACAGGTACCCTTCTGGAAAAGATGGCAATGCCTTGGGTCATCATCGTCATCGACATCACCATTTTCCTCTCCTCCTTCTTCTCGGTCAAATGCATTTGACCTTGGGATGGAGGACGCTGCCAGATCAGATAGCGCAAAGGAATAGCAATGTTCGTTAGTCTCAGCAGCAGAACATAGAACATCGTTTTCCACGTCTAGCAATTCTTCTCACGGTTATAGTGTCACTTTCATCAGGACCGTCACGTATATCAGCTAAGGCTTCTATTCCTGGGTTGATATACAGTATGTCCCCTGAATCATCTAATCTTAATATGTTACCAGCAGCTAAAAGTGGCAGCATGCCTAGTCCCTCGATGGTTTTCAGAACTTCTTTTTCTGCCTCCTTGATGCCGCTCAAGATTTCATCTTCCACAAACTCTGGCCAAGATGTGCGAGAAACAACTGGAGGCTCCTTAAGTTTCAGCTCATCGAGTTTTGCTATTCTGCCGCAAATGTCGAGCATGTCCAGCATACAAAAATTTGTTTTCCCTTTACAAAACCCACGACAGCGTGCAAAAAGTCTTTCACAACTGTCAGAACCAAACGTAGAGGGATTAAAAGATTGATCGGGAAGTACTCCGAAAATAATTTTCTCGACAATATAAGCGAGTGTCCCGCAAGCACTATATCGTTGTACGTTTGTAAGGATATAAAAGAGGACTCTATTGGATAATTTGACATCTCTACCCAAGCTTTCCATAATCTGACAAAGCAAACTGAAGACCAAGCAAGCTTTGACCGTTCTTTTTCACAGTGAGATTTTCATCTGTATATGCACGTAGCATGTTATGTCCTACTTTAAGGTAAACTCGAATTGCTTGACTGCGGTCCTTATTCCACTCGCTCAAGCATTCTCGGACTTCAGGTTGCAAAATTCGTAGCGCTGCAGCCACGTTCTGTTTGTCCCTGACGAAAATGTCACTTTTCCATAATCCACTTTTTAATTTGTTCGCCTCATACAACCTCATTAGATCTTCAATCATGACAAACGAATCTCCTAGAACCAGGACGCGACGCACGCGTTTAGAATCTGGTTTCTCCATTTTTAATTAGGTGCTTCCAGTCAGGAAACATAACAGTAGGAATTCTCAGGCCATGAACATTCTTGACCACAGAAACAAAACTGAACCCCTTGTGAGATACCGAAATCACTTCATCTACCATGCCATGCCTTTTACTAAACTCATCAAGAAAGTATCTTCTAAATTTAGAGTCTCCATCCGCACCTATTCCGAGAATCTGCATATTATGTTGAGCACCCCAGTTTAATGCGTCCACGAACCAATTCCTCACTGAAGCCCAGTCTTGCCCCTTAACTACTGGTGAAATTGCAAGGGTAAAACTAGGAACGTGCTCTTGCAGAGGAGTCAACACAAACGCATTAGCTTGCCGCGCCTTTTCCTTACTTTGGTCATTTGTCACCTCGATAATATCTTGTGCAGTACGTACAAAAATGTCCTCTTCAGATGCAATTCCTACGATTCGATTGCCTCTTACTCTAAGGCATGGTGAAATTGCAGTAGCATCTATGGCCAGGACAAATGGTCCCGTATAACCAACACGTTGATAGAATGAGGCCGCTATTCCAAACTGATCTTCTGTTAGTTTAGTTGCAATAGGAACCTTGCGTCGGGCTGTTGCATAAGCAGTCTGCAGACTTGGCCCGCCAATTTTTTCCCTGATTATCTTTAGCAAGGCCGGTCCTCCATAATCTAGAATAATTGCGAACAAGGACTTTGTGTCGTCATTCCAGCATTTTTTCTCATTTATGTTGTGCGCAAGAAGATCGGACACAATCGAAATGAATTCAGTATTTTTTTGGTCTTTCCTTTCTACTACTGCAGCCAGCTGAAGCGCGATTTCTGGCAGCTGCTGTTTTAGACATTTGCTTTTCAGATCATGCTGTAATGCGCAAATGACATCTTCTTTTACCGATAACTGTAGTCTAAGTTCAGCAATTTTTTTTTTTATACAATTCTGATAATGAAGCTTTCTCCGCTATATGTTGAATACAAGAGGTGGCAATGTCTAAACGGCTCTTTTTAAAATTTTCCTCTGATGCTCCTAACAGACACTGGAACCGGAAGGAGTCCCTGACCCTCTGGGTATTGTCTCTACTTTCCATTAACATATTTGAGATTTCCCTCTCCATATGCGACTTTTTTTTGGACTTTGGACAAATCGGAGGAATGTAATAATTTTTCAGTCTCTATCCTAGCCTCTGAAAGCCGGTTCATGTATACAAATTTTTCGTTGTATACGATCTCTTCAACTGAAACGCGTTGTTTTGAGTTGTCTTGCTGATCCCGCAAAGGAGATTCTGTCATCATCATTTCACTCAGCCTCTGTCCGAACGCCCTGTTCATTTCTCGGTGTGTATTTGCAACTGCCTGTGAAAATAGAAATCAATTAAACATTGGGTCAGATGACTTGAGTTGGAAAACCCTTAAAACATCGCTTAAAAAGACGCGGAATCAAAACAATGAAAAAAAAAAAGGAAAAAAAAGAACCCACGCTGTATACCTTTTCTCTTTGTGCATAAGACACCATTTCTGCAACCATGACTGTTTTGGCACTTGCGCTCCGAGATGTTGATGGGCTGGGGGAAGACTTCTGTTTGGCGGTTCCAAAATAACTCGTCAGCAGTTTATTTCCTGTAAGAAAGATGTTCGTGCGTGTGTGTTAAATACGCTACGGTGTATACAGCCCGCCCCTCACAGCATAATATCGCTGAGCAGATTCGTTGGTTAAGTATTAAAAAAAACATATTAAAATAAACTGAATGATCACTCAATAGATCAACTACTCTTTTAAAGGAAAACAGCAGAGAGTTGTCAAATATTCGAATAATATAGGTTTTTCTTGCAATAGTGATATATTTGAACTAATACAACTTTTTTAGTATATTTCCTGTTCTGTTTTATTGAGTAAATTAAATTATATTTTATTTTTCCTGGACTTATTTAGATTCTGAAAACTTCTTTTTTCTTCGTGTTTAGTATCAAGAATAGATCGGATTCAAACTGACCAAACGCGGAATCAACTGCCAGATTCTCTCCCCAGTATCTTTTTCACACGTTCACTGACTGCCGGTGTTTGTGCTAATTCGTGTCACACGTTCACTGACTGCCGGTGTTTGTGCCAATTCGTGTCTCGGGTGTGTTAACGTTTGTTTTCTCTCGGTTTTCTTGATCTTTGTTGAAACTGGTTCAACCATGGAAGATAAAGAATACGTTGAAGTGTCAGTCAAGATAGCAGAAAAAGAACTGCCTGATTTGAAGAAATTTGTTGAAGAGCGTTGCGGAGAGAGATTAAAAGTAATGGAAAATGCGGTGAATGGTACCAATGGTACGCAGTGTTGTTTGTTTATTTCACTCATGAATGTTATGTGTTTTGAGATGTTTTTAAGCCTCCTCCATTATAGTTTAAACTGCAAAAATTTAGATTTAGACCTTGTGGAACTGACACTGAATTTTAGGAGCGATTTAAGACAAGAATGGTCTTAACCTTTTCCACACAGGAAAAAGCACGTGTAATGAAGCGACAGAAGCTACCGGCTACAAACGCTCAAACGCAAGTCGTGGAGATTACAGACGAAGCAGATCAAGAAGCCGGTGCAGCTAAGAAGAATACGGAAGATGTCATTCTTTTACCGAGGGAAATCGCTTCAAAAGTTTCGAGATGGCTCCTCACAAAAGGGGTTTCCCAAACATTCTTTGCTAAAAGGGTAGTGAATAGGTCCCAAGGTTCTTTCTCAGACTACATCACAAAAGCGCCAAACGAGCTGCCAAAAACACATGGCCGGGCAATATGGGTAACCTTGAACGCTTTTTCTAAACGACCCCAAACAGCAAGCCGCATTGATCGATGAATACAAGAAAGGTAAATATCTATTTATAGTTGTTGTATTTACATTCTTTTTATAATAAAGTGAAATATCATTGCTCGTCACCTTCTTGGTGACAATATTTATAGCATGACACCTTTACCACCGCTGACGGTTAGGCTCGACCACTGTAAGTCATTGAATGACAAAAGGTTAGTATAGGGTTTCTTGACTAAATTAATTTTTTTTTTTAAATTATTTTAGTGTCAAAATCACGGAGGAAAGAAATTGATGAAAGTGACAAGCCTCCAAAAAGGCGGTTAAACGATACAGCGACCTCGAATTATCCACGCTAGATTCCGTCTTCAAGTCATCGAACGGATTGCCTGAAAGAAGCGTACTAGAGCGAACGGCCAAGTTACTAAAACTAGAAGAGCGACAGGTAAGCCTAGAATATTTCTTTTGCAACAAATTGGTAAACGATCAAATCAAACTGAAAACTTCGATCAATTCGTTGCTAAACTTTACAGCTGAGTTGTCGATTTGACATCTTTGTTTAGCCTTACCTTTAGGTTTACTTGACAAAACATTATTGTCGTCGTCCAAATACCATCCAGCTTTTATTTTGTGTGACTCTTCCTTGCTATGGCGCTTCACCAGCCACATCGTTTTAGCGCTATCTCCATAGGTTAAAGTCAAGCCACATGAATTACAAGTAATCGAGTTCTTGAAATCACTGTCGGATGTCAGGGGCCGAAAATCACGTTTCTGTAATTCTTGGTTCACCTGATGTATGTCTTTATGAGGGGCACTGTCGGTAACTTCGAAAAGATATATGCTTAAAATAATGCATGAGAAAAAGGAAATATAATGCGCCATAGCACCGATCTGCTTGTACAAGAGACTAATCTCGACTAATGCATGGTTCCACGTGGACACAGTAGGAGTTAAGTTCATGCGGTATTCTTCTTGCTTGGGCTCGTTGCAATTACAAAATGAGTTGCGTTGGTGCTAGGAATAGACGCTGAATAGAAAGTATCCAGGTAGCCTTCATGGAGAGTTGACCAAACATTTATTTACTTATTTATTTCATTTATATTTTGTGACTTCCAGGTGAGCGTATGGTTTAACAATCATCGCAGGAAACAAAAGCAGGGAACTTACAAGCCGGGGCAGTATACGCAGAATCAGGGGGGAAGCAGTGACGATTCGGGAGCTACTCCACAGTGACATGTGACCAGTGACTTGTTTTATCTGGTTTTATTTAGTTTGTAACCTGGTACACGTGAATTATGAAAAAATAAAGTAATTTTAACTGATTTCATATAGAAAACCACAAACTTGTCTGTTTATTTTGTGCTATCGTCCATCGCATCCATCAACCCTGTTGGAATAAGGAATAACACTGAGCATTAATAAGAGGATTAATTGTACAGTGTGCTGTTATCGCACTCTGAATGAAGTGGGTTCGTGGTCTGGGAAGTTTTCTTGTTCACGTGTTCACTCTTAATCACGTGACCTTTCACCATCATCTGCTATCACATACCACGCGTACTACCCACAAACCTTAAACCGGAAACCTGAAATCCAATGTTTATCCGCTGATTAACTCACCAAAGCCGATTTATGTTAAATACAGCCATAGAACGCACAGAAAGCAACATTCAGCTTATGCAGAAATGAAATTCATTCCAAGATTGACTCAATTCAACATGGTTTTTGTTGTAGCAGTACGCCACGTTTACCAGCGTAAACAATTCCACTGGTGTTCTTACGCCGCTTACACAGTGTGCTGTCGTTTTCGTCCGAGCTACGAGTCTAAAAACTCAGAAAAATTGCTTCAAATGCGAATGAGTTATCTGGTTATCACAGATTATCGCCAAGACTGGAAGAGGTTTTGACGTTCAGTTTTCGGTAAGAAAGAAAAAAGTTCCTTGATTCTAAATTGACTTGATATAATTTTTTTTTCAATGTCCTCAATCGACCGGATAAATCGATAAAATCGATAATCTCGGTCTAAGTCTTGTGATTATCGATTTCTATCGATTATTTTAGCTAATCGATTAACAATTATCGAGTAATATCGAGTAATCGATTAGTTTTCGATGATCGATTTCTATCGATTTGTAACGCCCTGTTTAAAGTTATCCGCTGACAAATTACCAGTTTCAAATGATCGCAGGCTCAAGTTTATTTTTTCCAAGGATTCATATCAAATACGTTGTGTTTATGTCACCATGGCCCCGCACTATTAGGATTTTGATTTCAAACTGACCTCGGAAGCGAAAATTCATCCAGTTTTTTCAAAAGTACAGGCGGGGAAGACCTTATCTTATCATGGTCACGTGTTGGTCACGCTCTATGTCCAATTTTTACACTCTGACTGGTCAAAATTTGACAGGTGAGTTCATGCGGAAAAATTATGCATCTTGAAAGTAGTTTACTTTGACAGCTGAAGCTGACAGAGTTTTGTGTCAACTTGTGATGTTTTTAACTGTCTTTTTCCTCTGGATGTACAAAATGAAATACAGTTGCTACCAAGAGTCTTCTGTTAGATCTAGTTGGTTGTACTCTAATGTAAAAGCATTGCGTGGCGCTACTTCATGTGGCCCATCAGTTGTGCGCTTAATTTCCTTGGATTGGTGGTGGTGGAGGGAGATTACTCCGCGCCTTCTTGAGAAGAATTGGAGGCGTGCCGCAAATGCAAGACCTCTAACTCAAGTGAGAGTTTTTCTTTTTGAAGCTGCACCAATTTGAGCTCTTAGGAAAGGTCCCTTGTGACATGATCTTGTTGCCGCTGCAGAGAAGATCTGGCTACTGAGGCATCCTCGAATGTGGAGTTGTTTTCTGTCTCCTTGGCCAGGAAATGCCAGTCTTTTAACTGAGGTCGCATGACAATGACCAGGCTTATGTACTTGAGTTACATCATTACACAATTATTCATCCTCACAGAAGTGACGATAGATACAATGCTGGTGCTGAAAATAAATTTCAGTTTGATGACTTTTTAATTATATCTGTAGCGTGCATCAAATTGTAAGAAAAATACATTGCGACTTGAACAAGATAACTACAGAAAAAAGTGGGATTTCTTGCAAAATGTAAAATTAATGTATTTTTCTTGTTGTAAAATTTAACACCTAAGATAGCTAGTACATGAAAACAAAAATTATTCATGTAATTTTTGTCCGTCCTTAATTGTAGTAAATGTAGTGTTTATTTTGTAACCTAATATATAGATTTAGCCAGGGCTAAAAGTGAAGCTCCCATTAATATCAATTTATCATTTAAATCAAACAATAAACTTGTACTCCACAAATCAGTTAACTTAAGAGCACATTTATGTGACTTTTGAGGGAAAGGCTAAGTGATTTTAGAGAAAAATAATTTGCAAACAGTCCGGGAGTGAACGAAATCGGGTGTAGACAAAACCTGGGCCTGGCCCATGGGCTAGCCCATGGGCTAGCCCATGGGCTACCCTATGGGCCACCCTATGGGCCACCCTATGGGCTACCCCAAAATTTAAAAAATAAATAAAAAAAATTAAAAAAAAAATTAAAAAAAAAAGAGATCGCACGAGGCTTTAGGCAGTAAGGATTTAATCGCTTTGTTTGCTACGTGATTTAGTATTGAGAATGGCTCGTTATTTGTTCGTCGCGTAAGCAATTGAGGTGAGCATTACTTTGTTAATAATGGTTCAATAGCTGATTCTCCCCTATGGGGGAATCCCATAGGGGGAATCGGCTATTAACGGTCTTGAATTGTTGGATTTGAAAAGGGCTTGCTTAAATAAACACTTAGGCTGAAAAGTTTGCCGACTGAAAAAACGATGGGACCCCAATTTTTTGTGGGAAATCGAATGACATGATTGTCGTCCGTGACAAACTGAACAAGATAATTCGGTGTTATCGTTTATGGTTTATGCTTTTCACAGCGACAACGTTTTTTTCAATTAGGTATATACATGACCCACCCCCTAAAAATCTACCCTACCTAGCAATTCCACCCTTCTAAGAGCTTTATTCAGTCAGAAAACCATCATGACCCACCCCCTCTAGGGGCTCAAAGAAGAAATGACCCACCCCTTTGCCAAGGCTCAAAAATTGCTGAACTGCCTTTTTTTTTTTTTGCTCCAGCCGACCCCACCCCCTATACTTTTTACCAGTCCATGAAGAGACTAATGGTAAACACAAATTCTCATTTTTTAAATAATTGTAAAACACAAACGTTATGTACAATACCAATAAAACAGAATGTTGACCGGATCACGTGATCTCCTAGGTAATGATAAAGAAACTGCGAAAACTGAAGAGATTGTTACACAGAGATTGTTACCTAGTTGTATATTTATTTGACATGAAACAAAACTAGTTGAGTCTTTCTTTTAAAATTTCTATGTCGCCGCTATCTAGGGAACTCAGAATGTTCACTTGACTGGGGTCAAAGTGTGGATTTCTTGCCCGAATGCAATTTCCATATAAATGGAAGTGTTTGTTCTCAAATGTTTTTTTTTACTTTCTGTTGGCTCTCGATCCACACAAGGTCGTGCTCTTGGTGGCGAATGCAAAATTTGTTGTCGATGTCCCCCCTAGAGAAATTGTCTGGCCCATCTCTGATGTCTTCAGTAATCCTGCTGCACATTTTTAATTAAAGAGTCTGTGTAAGTGTTCATTGTAGTTGTACCGTCATTTCGAGGTTTGCTCTTTCTAAATGTTATTCTAAGCGGTTGATTAGAAGATGTCTCATGGTATATCTTGATAATCGATCACCACTTCTGCCATTAGATCTCTGGGCCGCCTTTTTGTTTGTGCGTTCCTATCTCTAACTGGTTGACTGAGTCAGTAACGTCCGGGCGACTATACGCGTGATTCTTGTTGGGCTGGCACTACTGGTGCTAACTGCAAACGTTGTCAGTGCAGTCATTGTTGTCCTTCTCTTGTTGTTGATAAATTATTCGCGCTAGCCCGTAACGTTCTACAGAGCAACCTGCATAGTGTGGGCGCCAAATTTTTCGCGACTAAAGCTCCAAACACCCGTTTATCGTA